TGGAGAGCAAATGTTTTGAGAATGACGAGTGCAATGAATGTACAAATGTGCTTTACACAATTGATGTATGTATGGATTGTGATAGAGTTGTATGAGCCCCGAATAAATTGATTTTAAAAAATGTGAAAAATCTTTTAGCAATAATGTTATGCAAATTAAGTTATTCAGGAAGTTAATGAAAATAACCCGTGGCTGTGGTAATAACTTAATGAATAAAATCAACCAACTCTTGTCAAATATTTAAATAGACAAATTAGCACTTAAGTCAGATTTCCAAAAGTCACAAGCACACTTTAAACTAGAAAGACCCTGCATCTCCAAGACATACCCTACGGGTGTCCAGTTTAACACACAGGGCCGGGGTCCTCAAACATTTTAAACAGGGGGCCAGTTCACTGTCCCTCAGACCATTGGAGGGCCGGACTATAGTTAAAAAAAAAACTGAACAAATTTCTATGCACACTGCACATATCTTATTTTGAAGTAAAAAAAACAAATGGGGCAAAAAACCCCGGTGGGCCACATGTGGCCCGTGGGCCGTAGTTTGAGGACCCCTGCACTGGGCGAATGCAGAGGCGCGAGAACAAAATAAAGAATCCTTTTCAAATGAACAATTTTACACAGCACACATTGGACTAATTAGCTCCTCACCACAGATCAAGTTTATTTCAGAAAATTGAATGAAAATGGACAAAGCAAGCTAACTGGATTTTCAACAATAGTGCTGGTGTGTTTGTCACAGAAAATTAATTTGCAAGATAAGTATCTAATTAATGGGCTGTCTGTCTGTAAAGCTTTCAGACAAATGTGATCATATCCAGTTGCCTCTTTCCCTCCGAGGAATGCTTTCTGTGTCAGAGGCGTGTGGCTGAGCGATCCTTTCTTCATTTTCTGTGTCTTTCTCTTCTAGCCTGCAGTGGGGTCTGGGACAACATTACGTGCTGGCGCCCTGCTGACATAGGAGAGACCGTCACAGTTCCCTGTCCAGAAGTTTTCCGCAATTTTTACAACAATCCAGGTACTGTCGGTATGTATTGAATTCCTATGTTCCCCAAGAGTGTTCATTTCGGAAAGTGTACAAATTCTCGACAAAGAGATCGAGAAGTAAAAGCATCCGTTTCCTTTGGTAAATTCTAGCCATTTCTTTCCACTGAGTGGATTTGCGGGATAATTGTAAGCATCGTGTGAAAGTTTGCTTTTTATAGAGCAGGAGAAGGTAAAGCTTCCTGCCGGGGTCGTTCACCCCAAGCACAGAGCAGAGCCCAGCTTTGTTAAGGGGGAGAAACGAGAATGAAACAGTGTGCAGGACTCTCCTTAGGCAAGAGCGAAATAAGTAGACAAATTAAAGCAGAACTCCAAAAATGTGTAAGATATGTACTGATAGGGGTCAGCACCTAAATTTGCCTCCGAATATGGAGTGGGCCAAGAGACTGAACAACAAGGCCAGCAGCTACAGCATTACAGTGTAGGAGTGTGGTGAGGGGCTTCCTTACAAGACAAACCTTCAGCAGTCGCAGGGCCGACAGGACTTTGCCCACACCCACGGTGGGAGGCGGGGGCTTGATGGCCTTGGCGAACAGAGATGGCTCCGTGTCAGGACTTCATACCTCCCCACTAGGGTCACATACAGAGTGAATTAGCAAGGAGAAGCAAGCTCACAGCTAAAGAAATCCAGAGTGTAGGCCATATGTGGCCTTGTAAAACCTGTTTGTCTTCCAGGCTGGCTTTTATAATCTGGCATGCCTCCTCCTTCCTAGCTGTCCCCAAGCGCCTTGTGGGGTGGGGTGGGGGGTGGGGTGCACAATAACTAAATAGGTATGGACTGTGCACAGACCTCAGCCGAAAACTCAGCAGAACAACCGTACAGTTAAGAAGAGACCCAGACCGCATGAAGTCCTTCAGTAGCTCGAGGGGAAGGAGGAAAACCAGGCTGTCACAGTAGATTAGCCATCACATGTGCTCAACGCTTGTATCTGTTGTCTTCCATGGGGCCTAACAAACAGAGCCCTGGTGGCAAACTGATTATGCATTGGGTGGCTAACCATAGGTCAGCATTTTGAAACCACTACCAGCCACTCCAAGGGAGAAAGAGGGCTTTTCTGTGTTTTCTACTTCCATAAAGAGTTATCATCTCGGAAACCCATGGTGGCAGTTCTACACTGTCCTACACGGTTGCTTGCTCACCAGCAGTCAGTTTGGTTTTTAACAAATCAGTCATGTTCTAGTTTATCGTAGTCTAGTTTGTAGCTACAGCATTCAGTTTCATTCTCATGTATGTTCCAACTTAAGTGACTGTTGGCATGTCCACAGCCATCTGGTTCTGGAGGATGACCTTCCACATCTGGGTGGTTTCAGCGATTAAAAGCAACAGGTCTCTCCAGCTATCATTCAAGGCCCATTTAATAAAATTGACCAGAGCTTCAAATTGTCCCATAACCTCTGAGGACCCAAGAGGAGGAACACAAACAGTTACAAGGTAATCGTGCCAGTGAAAATGCTATGCTTGGTCCACTTGACTGTTAACTATTGTGTCGTTCAAAGGTTTTGGTATAAATTCCCTAATGGTCCCTACAGCATAGGGCACCCCTAAGTGAATTGTCCTATCAAATCTTATGGTAACCAGGGCTGTAAGTAGCCGGCACACATTAGTTGGGTGCCATTAGGAGTGAGTTATGCTCCTCTCTTCATCTGGAGTATTCAAACTGCAAATAGTTCGTCACAGGAGCCATGATCACTATTGGCAGTGAGACACAGAAGTCCAGCCTGATCTTTGGGGAGGGTTTGAAGAAAGGCAGGGAAGCCCCTGGGATCCCTATCAGCTCAAAATGTACTAAGATGTTTCCCCAGCACATTTCTCCTGGGTACTAACCAAACTTAACCATCCGAGAGGAATGCCAGACACCCGATGTTGGCCATGGACCGAGGTTCTACAGTCTCTTCCCAGAAGATGGTTCTCAGGAGGGTCTGGACCCCAGAAAAGGTGGTGTGGGGTCGCCTTCTCCTATCATTCCTCTACTTAGTCACACTGGGTTAAACAGAAGAGCATGCTTCAATAAGTTCCTTGAAAAATAGAATGAAGTTATATTGGAATTTTCCCACAAACATTCTTGAAGTTCTCTTGTATGTCCACTGTCTAATTGGTTCTTGTCAGAGGCCCCACCTTTGAAGGCAGGTCTTCAGCACTTGAGAAAGGGAATTATCCACAGACCCAGCAGTGGCTTTTATAATGGACGGTGATGAAGCTGTGAGGCCACACTAGGAAGACAATGGCAGCCTCACAGGGAAGGAAGCAGAGTAGGGCAGACCGCACGGCTGCAAAGACACATGTTCCGTGGGTACCAAGAACGATGGACTCTTCCTTCTATTAGGATCCCATGTGGGTCTTCCCCTTGCATGGTAAGGACAACAGGCACCTCAAAAGCGTCTCCCAAAGGCTGATTGTACTGTATGTGCTACTCTAGGGTGGACTGCTCTAGGTGTGCCTGAAGTCATCCATTTTCCCATCTGCCAGAAAAGGAACTCAACTTTCGTCCCTTGTCCTATAGCCATCGTCCCCGTCCACGTGAAGTGTGACTGACTCTCCATGCAGTAGGATGATGGGTTCCCACTTTAGGCCATTTAGTTCTGCCTCTGGAGAGACAAAAGTAACCCACCCCCATGGGGCAGCCCATGACAGGAGCCCCAGACTGGTTCTGCTTCCCAACACCACATCCTGAGATATTCAGAGCACATGCTGTTTTGTATTGGCAGCAACTTGGGCAGGTATGTTTCCAAAGCTCTGGGATTAGGGGAAGAGGGTCACCCAATCCAGTCTTGCACCATTCTCTTTTTTTTTTTTAATTCAACCATTTTTATTTATTTATTTTAATCGTTTTATTAGGGGCTCGTACAATCCATACATACATCAATTGTGTAACCACATTTGTACATTCATTGCCCTCGTCATTCTGAAAACATTTGCTCTCCACTTAAGCCCCCGGCATCAGGTCCTCATTTTTCCCCCTCCCTCCCCGCTCCCCCCTCCCTCACGAGCCCTTGATAATTTATAAATTATTATTTTGTCATATCCTGCCCTGTCCGACATCTCCCTTCACCCACTTTTCTGTTGTCCGTCCCCACCACTCTTAAAAGTAGTCTTATATTTAAGGCCATTGTTGCAGCCACTGTGGCAGTCCATCAGGGAAGATTGTCATCGACCCTCTTCTTTACCAGGCACGAGGCCCTGATGTCCTTCTCCAAAGATATCCAAAGTTTATGAGTAAAAGTCTTATTATCCTTGCTTCCAAGGACCATTCTGGCTGTAGTTCTAAAATACATTTGTTTGTTCTTCTGGCTGACTGTGGTATATTTAATATTATTTGCCAGCACCATTATTCAAAGGCATCCATTCTTCTTCAGAAAGCAGCAGTGGCTTTAGGCATGGTTGAGAACATAAGATAGATTACAGGACATAGGTTTTTATACCTGCTCAGAGCACTGTCCTCAGGAGGCTTTGAAAGTGAGAAAATTTGACTCGTAAGAGTCCTGATATTCAATCAGTGGCTAGGAAAGTACATTCTCATTTCAGGAAGCAAGTGGTTCATTAAACCGACTCTTCTTAGTTCTCCACTCCCCCACTTGCCAGCCCAGCTTGAATATCTGAGCCTTTTTCTGAGTTCCACAGAAACTCAAACTGTGTGGAGTGGGCCTAGCTAGGTTGTCTCCTCTGTTTCCTGGGCTGACTCTACGTGTGGGTGCAGGCACATGCCTAGCAAATCTTGGCTCCTTCCTGAGAAGGTGGCTGTTTGTTTTGTCATATTGTCCGTGGGTTATGAACTGTTCCTAACTATTTCTCTTAAGAATTTGTAGATCAGCTAGAACAGGTCCTTGGTGTTCTTTCGCCTTACTTTAATACAAGTAAAGGCTTGAAATCATTGCAAAGATTTAACATCTGCACACGCACCCAGTGAAAGTGATTGTGATGAATGTGTTGCGAATGGGGACGGTTCAACCCTTTCCAAGTGAGGGCAGATTGACATACTATGAAAACTGGGCTTCAAGGATGATGATGCCTGGTTCAAAAAATGGTGGTTGGCTGCACCACTTGGAATGTGTGTGGGTCTCCATAATGCTTCCAAGAATTCCCCCTCACATCAGGCTCCCGGAAGGGTTTACTTAGTACACCTCTATCAAGGCACATTTCAGGACTTTGTCCTATAAGTTCCCCCTTTTGGGAACTGTGATGAATCATCCAAGCCCCTGTTCTTGCTTCACTCTCTCTGCCATGATAGAACAGGTTTAAAGCCCTGCATTAAAGGGCAAGCAGAAGTTATCTGTAAATCAGATATTTATAACCTGGGGGCTGCTTATATAAGTGACTCGGGTTTTCATAATATGAAGAAATCTGTGCAGAAAAAAAAATTTAAGTTGTAACTGGAAATCAGAAATACCTGATCTTTTGGGTGCTATAAAGAATAGGTGCATAAGCAAATGTGGTGAAGAAAGCTGATGGTGCCCGACTATCAAAAGATATAGCATCTAGGGTCTTAAAGGCTTGAAGGTAAACAAAGCGGCCATGTAGCTCAGAAGCAACAAAGCCCACATGGAAGAAGCATACCAGCCTTTGCGATCATAAGTTGTCGAAGGGATCAGGTATCAGGCATTGTTAGAACAAAATATCTTACCATAGTGAATGAGGCAGGGAGTGCAGAGTGGAGACCCAAAGCCCATTTGTAGGCCACTGGACATCCCCTTGCAGAGGGGTCTCGGGGAGGAAATGAGCCAGCCAGGGTGCGATGTAGCAATGATGAAAAATACAGCTTTCCTCTAGTTCCTAAATGCTTCCTCCCCCACCTCCCCACCCCAATCATGATCCAAATTCTACCTTACAAGCCTGGCTAGACCAGAGGGTGTACACTGGTACAGATAGGAACTGGAAACACAGGGAATCCAGGGTGGATGATCCCTTCAGGCGATACTGGGAGCGTAGAGGGAGAGCGGGTTGGAAAGGGGGAACCGATTACAAGGATCTGCATGTGA